CTAGCATTTCAATCCTCTGGCAAGACGTGGCTCCCCACGAAGCCCTGATGTCCGGCCAGCCCGTTTCTCGGATTAGCAGCCGCTCCGTGGCAAGGACGTGTAAGAGACAAGACAACAGCATGCGTGCAGCTCCTCGGCAAAGAGCAGTTCAGAGAGTTGCGCGACTTCTACCGCGAGAATCCACACCATGCCCTGTTCCATGACAACAGTGACCCAAGCAGCGAGCGACAGACAGAGACCACTGCTGGATCTAGGCCACAGGCCCACAGAAGCTCCACCGGCAATCAGCACCGAGCAGCTGAGTGCATGAAGATGTGGCCTTGGATGCGGGACCTGCCGACACGAGCTTGGGCCGGCAACGGCTGGCTACTCGTGGAGGACGGCATGATGAAGCTCTCGCCGACCGGAGGGGGCTCCGCCATGCAGGGTCTCGAGATCTTCGAGTCCGTGGGCTCCGTCCCGGAACCCGACGAGGCGAAGTCCCCGGAGCCACCCAGCGGGGCCGAGCCGAGAGCCGAGCAAGGCCAGGTCGTCACGAAGAAGTTCCGCGGCCTGGAGCGCCAGAGCGGTATCCCGGGAATCACTTGGGAAGGAGTCATGCCCGGCTGGCGCGTCAATTGGCAAGTCTCAGGCAAGCGGACGAGGAACAATTTCTCCATCACCCAGCACATGAAGCTCGGCCTCGCAGAGGCCGAGGCCGTGGAGGCGGCGCTCCAGGAGGCCAAGGCTTTCCATGAGGAGCTCGTGCGCCAAGGCAAGCTGAAGCCGCCGAAGCCCGTCACGGAGAAGGCCTCCGGCTCCAAGGTGAGGGGAATTAAGTATGACAAGAAGAACGGAACCTTTCGGGTTCAAATGACTGACCCCTCCACCAAGCAATCTGTTCATGGTGGCATGTTCAAGGTGAGGGAGGAGGCCGAGGCCCGGGCCCGGGAGTTGGCCAAGGAGTTGGGGCTGGAATCCGAGGGCGGAGTGGTGCCGGTGAAGCCGCTCTCGGAGATCCCACACTTCGAGCCGCTGGGGCCACAGAAGGGCATCAAGTGGGTTCCTGGCGAGCAGGCGTGGCATGCGCGATACCAAGGCAAGCACATGAGGTTCCGCCCGAAGGACTTCTCGGCGAAGGAGGTGGAGAAGTCCTGGAAGCAGGCGGTGGCCTGGCGCAAGCTGCAGGAGAAGGAGAGGGAGCGGGCTGAGCAGCCGCAGAAGTGATGAAGAAGACGCGAGTCTCCAATTCTTTGTAGTGGCAGCCTTTCGTGGCAGCTGTGTGTTTCAGGCCAAGCTGCACGTGTAAAGAGGAGTGAACTACGCCAACAAAGGCATATTCCGTGGACCGGGATCCTCTCTCTTGCACTTTTGTAGTTTCCTGCTCACTCGCCCTTTGCACGCCCGCAAACCTGCAAGAGCTCAAATCAGGCAAGCATGGATCCCATCCACGTCCTGCACTGCATTCGAAGGCTTGTACTTCGACTTTGCATGTGTGCATCCGCATGCTCATCTCGTGCTCAGACTCGAAAATCAGGAAGCGCTGTCCTTTGGTATCATGACCCTATCGCCACCCCCATCCAAGGTTCACTTGACTCTGAGTCTGCAGTTCGTACAGATCCGTTTCAATAGTTATAGCCGTCTTATCCTCAACAGTGGGTGCATAGAGCAAACTGACGCGACAGCAGCAATCACAGTGAAACCTCTATTGAAATAACACCCTGGGACACCCACGTGCCAACCTCCACCGGTCTTCCGTTCTATCCCGTGTGCATGCATATGAACCCAGTGCCCGGTTTATCATTAGTCTTGCGCTGTATTTCCGGAGCGCACAAGCGTCCTAAACCCCTAGCCTCTAAACCCGAAACCCAAACCCACAGCCCTAAACAAGAGTTTCAATGACAGATGCAGTTCCGTTTTGGGGTTGCCTTTTCAGATCCTTAATATATTGGTTAAACCAAAAAACGGAACTACAACGGAGACTATAGGTAGGGCTTGAGGGTTTCGGACTTGGGGTCACCAATGCTCAGGCCTTCGAGTGGAGCTCCGAGTAGCATGGCTGTGGACGCTGAAGACTTCGATTTTTTTCAAATGCCCAAGGTGCAGGGTTGAACGAGCTTTTTACACGATGCTTGTCAGAAGAATCATAAAAAAAAAACAACAAATAATAGAATAATGATCATGATAAGACGAAATAACAATCATAGTAAATGCCATGTAATATCCTTGTTTTCAACCCTTAGCCGCAACCAGGACCCCAAATCCCAACTGCAACCCCAAACCCATCGCCTCAAGTACCAAAAGTTGCCAGGTGACACCTGCACCTAAGCCGAATACACTGCGCGCCAGGAGACCGTACCGCATTTCAGCCTTTTTGGCTTAAGGGCTGGGATGGGGGAGGGGCCGGTTTTATGTTTCATGTAGTGTTTACGCCCTAAGCCCTAAACCTTAAATCCCTAACCCTTAAACCCTAACCCCTAAACTGTTCCTTTCAATGGGTGTCCTCATATTCGCGCGTGTTGATTCGAAGAAGGGCCTCTGTCAACGTTTGAACAGGGCAATAAGGTAGAAAGTTAAGTTATCACATACTACAGAAGCCTGAAGAGCTGACAACATTAATTCTTCCTTGTGAATTCGTGCTCCTTCTCACAATTTTACGGTAATGTGTGCCGCAACACCTTTCTACTTCTTAGGCCCCCATACATTACATGATGCTTTGGGTACTAGTTGCTAGGGTTTGCCCGAGCATTCAATCCAATGCCACGTCACGCCAACATGGGCTTCTGGATTTGATAATAGCCCTAAAACCCTATAAGCCCCAAACCCTAAAACCTATAGACCCTATAAGCCCGAAGAGCCCTATGAACCCTAGAAGCCCTACTATAAACCCTATAACCCCCCTAAAACCCTATAAACCCTAAACCTTGATTAAGGGGCATTGCAGCATCTAGGGTTTCAAGCTTCCTTAAAGGGTTCGAAAAGGGCTGCCCGACCTTCGAAGTAATGTAGCGGCCTTCATAATTAGAATAGGGTTAATTCGAATCATTAACCCCGAAAATAGTATTGGTAATTATTTAGGCCCGTACAGTACTCGGGTTGAGGATAGTAGCTTTGTAGTAAAGTTACATCGTGCTTTTGACACCTTACTTGTCGCTGTTCTTGCCCATGGGTTTTGACCCGGATTTACATCGCATACGTGTTTCTATACCTGTCTAAAGTTGCAGAAACGAAGAGTCACAAAAGTAAAATTCCCTGCTGCATCGTTCCGACTGAAGGTCTCACTGGACTCGGCAAGTAGGCTACAATTGGGGTTACAAGTGCCCTAAGTAGGGTTATCCTAGTTACAGCCTTAAACCCTACCTGTGGCCCAAAAGACCCACCGTCTTAAAATCCATAAAGAACCCTAAACAAGGTAGGTTTTTTTTCTGGCACACCTAAACCCTAAGCCCTAGACCGTCTTTGCTTACTAAGTCCCCTGAGAAGTCCCATGCCTTAAACCCTTGGCCCCAAAACCTAAACCCTAAACCCGAAGTAGTACCTAGGTCCTTGACCCTAAACCCTAACCCTGCACGCTAAACCTTACTTATGACTCTGCTTACTCAGTCCCATCCTAAACCCTAAACCCTAAACCCTAAACCCTAAACCCTTAACCCTAAATCCCGTGAGCCCTTCGGTCTTCTTGCGTAGGAGCCTGGCTGCTGCGGCTCTCCAGCGTGCTAAGGCCGCGAGGTGCTCCGGTGGGGAGCTGATGACAAACCCACAGGGTCCCGTAGGGTTTAGGGTTTGGGGTTAGTGTTTCGGTTTTCGGAATTATCAGTATGGTTTGGGTATGTATCCCCCATAGAGATACTTAGGACCCTTTGGGGAGGTTGTCTGAAAAAGCTGGCTCACCCGCAACGAGGGTCCGCTCGTCAAATATCCTACTATGCTGCCTGGTGCCTTATCTCTGCTTGCAAACCCTAAACCCTAAATCCTGTAAGTTGTAAGCCTCATGAACTCTAAAATTCTACTGTACGCAAACTACAAATAAAGATGGTTCTGACTAGGGGCTCGAAGAAACCCTGAAACATAAGGGTCTTGCCTTAGGAGGGATTGAAAACCTTCCGATACTTTTGAGATCATTCACCCTAAACCCTAATATCCCTAAACCCTAAACCCTAACCCCTAAACCCTTCAGGTGCTCTTTGGAGACTTCTGAAGCTCCCAAAGCCTCTAACCCCGGGCCCTATACAAACACCCTAAACCCCAAAACTCAAACCCTAAACCCTGAATCCTAAGTCCTAAATCCTAAACCCTAAACCCAAAGCTCCTAAACCCTAAACCCAAAGCTCCTACGCCCAAAACCCAAAGCTCCTAAACCCTAAACCCCGAAGCCCAAAATCCGAAACTCCTGAACCCTAAACCCTAAACCCCTAAACCCTAAACCCTAAACCCTAAACCGCCTTTTTAATCCTAACGATCAAGACCCCTTTACGCCCCTTCGTCCTGGGAGCCGCCTCAACCCCAAAGGCCTGAAGCCGGAAGCCCCAACCCGCAAGGGTCCAGCGGTTGGGGTTTAGGGTTTAGGGTTTAGGGTTTAGGGTTTAGGGTTTAGGGTTTAGGGTCTAGCGGTTGGGGTTGAGGGCTTTAGGGCTTTAGGGGTTTTGGGGTTTCATTTAGGGGGTTAGGGGTTTGGGGGGAAGTTTAGGGGTTTGGGGGTTTAGGGTTTAGGGGTTTCGGGGTTTCGGGGTTTTGGGGTTTTGGGGTTTCGGGTTTAGGGGCTTTGGGTGTAGGGTTTTGGGGTTTTGGGGTTTCGGGTTTAGGGGTTTGGGGTTTAGGGGTTTCGCGGGGCTTAGCGTTGAGGGCCCAAACCCGAACACGAATCCGACCTGTAAGCCCGGAATCCTACACCCGAAAAGCAGATCCTAGAGAAATCCTGTAAACCCCAAACCCTGAATCTTACAAAGCTCTCAAATTCTAAACCCTGAGCCCTCAAATTCCGAACTCTTCAAATCCCAAACACTAAACCCTATAAACCCAGAGCCGCAAACCCTAAACCCTAAACTCTATAAGCCCCAAACCCCAAACACTGAACCCTGAACCCTATAAGCCCAAACCCTAAACCCTGTAGGCCCTAAGCCCTCAAATCCTAAACTCGATGCGCGCCACAGGGAGCCCAAGGTGCCAGAGGTGAAGAAAAGCGGGCGCTGCTGGGTCCGGCGCCCCGTGTATTTAGTGGTTTAGGGCTTATAGGGTTTAGGGCTCAGGGTTTAGGGCGTAGGGTATAGGGTTGAGGGCAGTTTAGGGTTAAGGGCCGTTTTAGCGTTTGCTATAGGGTCCAGGCTTCAGTGTTTGGGTTCACGGCTTAGCATGTGTCTCCTGAGCGCGACAGGGATTCCAAATGCTCTTGTTGGGTCTTGTCATGAAATTCATGGGGTGGGTTAGGGCGTTTAGGGCTTTGGGGCTTGTTCTTAGGAGTACCCAAAGTACACCCAACCCGAAGATTCAGCAATTTGTCGTCTTGCAGGGCTCCTACATAGCCTCAGCACCCATGTACCCATGCAGGCATAGTTTCGCACACGCGAGGAGTAATTCCTACTACGGAAACCTCACTTCACGCGATGTATCTGCTTACGCTCCTTAGTCTGGTTGCAAGCACCCCGCACTAGCTTTCGCCAGCATCACTGTCAAAGTCTCGTGATCTTACTACAACCACAGTCGAAGGGCAATTCTGATGCAGAAACCATACGAGTAATTCCCAATATTGAAACCTTATAGTGAAAACCCTAAAGTTAGAAGTCTCTGCAACCATCGTCGAAATTTAGACAAAGCCAAGGCCTCGCAACAGGCTGCCTAAGGTTTGAATTCTGGAGAAAACGAAAAACCAATTTACAGCTTCATCCTAAACCCTTACATGATCCTAAACACGAAACGCTAGTCCCTAACCCCTAAACCCTAAACCCTAACACAAACCTTAGATTCAGCATCTGAGCTCCCAAGGCCAGCCGGTCACGGTCCAGTCCGGCACAAGCGGGGGAAGGTACGGAGAAAGGCCGGCAGATTTGGAGTGGAGGTCTTCAAGGGGTATAGGATTTATAGGCTTTGGGTTTGTAAACGGGGTTTGGGGTTTTGAGTTTCGGAGCAGGGGTTGTCAAAGGGTTTAGGGCTTACAGCGTTTAGTAGTCAGAGTTTTCTTGGAGTTTGGGATTCACCGAAGGGTGCAACCACTCCGGGCCCCACATAAGATT